ATAAATTTTCATAACTTTATACTCAATCAGTTTTAACCCATCCCCAAATTGGTCGTTTAACAAACAACATTGTGACTTTATATTCAAAACTGGACGTTATGACAACTCTTTTGGATCAAATGGCGTCAAAATTCTCTGACCTTTTAATTCAAAATGTCGACATGAAAAAGTCGATTGATGGTCTTCAAAGTCGCTTTCCCACCAAAACCGAGAAAATTGACGAAGTTGAAAATTTGCCGTCGAAAATTGAAAAGGTTGAAAATCAAATCCAACAAAGTGCGCCGACGCAATACACCAAATCACCATCACCAAAACTACAACAACAACAACCAAAACAACAAACCCATTCGTATCAACAAGAAATCCAACGCCCAAATTATCCCGCAAAAAGTCCGAGTCCAAACACCCCCAAAGAGCAGAAGAAGCCGTCGATTCCAATTATAAATACAACGAAACCGACTCCATTGGCGCCAAAGAATAAGAAAGACGACTTTGCGGGGCTCTCATTTGAAACGGAAATTGCTAAAATCAAAAAACAGCAAGACGACAATTTGAGTGTTAAAAAGAAAAACCACGAGGAGACAAAGAAAGTGCAAACCAAACTTGAAAACGTCGAAATTGATGACAAAAACAGTTCACTGGAAATTGCGACAGATGTGAAGAAGAAGACAGAGAGTGCTACACTAACTGGAGTTAAGATACCAGAGACACCAAACACATAATCAATCCCTTCTATTTTTAATATACCAACTATCCAACAAGCAGAAACTAAGATGTCGACAGAAGAAGGGTGGTCGGTTGATTCGTGTTTGAACAATAAAAATATCAGTGAACAAAAAGACGCAAAAAAGGACGACAAAAATCAGTTCATCCCAACAAAAGACCAAATCGTATAATTCACCCTCGACCGCTTCAAAGACACAGAAAGAAACACATCGACGACTATAACACGGTCAGACAAAATAATGACGCCAAGAAAAGTAATATTAAGAAACTAAAAACGGAAATGAAAGCTATTTTTGTTTTTTTTTCAGATAAAATTAAAAAGGAAACTAAAGAAGAAAACTAAAGAAGAGATAAAAGACGAGATACAAGACAACCATCTTATAGTTGAACAAAATGAAGAAAAAACAGAAAAAATCGTTGAAATACCACAAATACCACAAGCAAAAAAAAGAAATCCAAATTCCATCAATTTTTGTTTTCAAAGATGAAGGAAATAACTCTAATGAAACACAACAAAAGGTGGTCTTAGAAAACAACTTGATGTCGTAAAAGATAGATAAGAAACCAAACGAAAAGAAAAGTCCCGTTCCTGTTATATCAATGATCTCAGTCGTATAATCGTGTAACTAAATGTTTAATTTACAGTAAAACCTCCCAAGAGCGGGCGGGTATGGTAAATTTTGTTCTCTCAAGAGCGGGCGTTTTATTTTTAACTCAATTTTTTAAAGTTAAAAAAAACATTTTTTTGGAATGTAAAAATAAAAATATAAAAAATGAAATATAATCCAAAAAGAAAAAAAATTACCACGTGTTAACATTAAGATGATTTTAAACAAAGATTAATTTGGCTCACAAATGTCATATTTTTATAAAAAATCAAATAATCTTATAATTTATTCATGTCTTTACCAAAAACATTTTTATCAATTGATGAAAAAAGCAAATTTTACAGTGGGCTAATGCTTCCCCGAAACCGTCTACTAAAAAACTGAGAGAAATAATAAACCAAAATTTACAAAAATGTCCAAAACGTGAGTCTCTAAGGATGTTGTTAAAGCACGGTATCAAGGAAAATTTGATTGAGCAATCAATACCAAGTAATGCCAAAGTTTTCAGAAAAGTTAAACACCCAGACTTGGAAGAGAACATGCTCAAGATGATAGAAACTGTGAGATCATACAATACTCCAGTTTGCTACAATGTTGTCACGAGCTTAGCTTCCAAATACTGCTTCGAAAAGGGATACAATTATATGATGATTTCAAATGGTTGGATTTCGTCGTTTTGTTCAAGAAATCAACTGAAATCAAAGAAATTATGCGGAGAAAGCAATTCAGTTGACCCAGATAAACACAAAGAAGCAATTGATAATCTGGTTGAAATTATTGCACAGTATGCTCCTAATAATGTGTACAATGCGGATGAAACAGGTCTTTTCTATAAGCTGTTACCTTCCAAAACATTGTCAAGTGGTTCTGATAACCATGGAGGGAAGGAAGATAAAGAAAGAATTACAATTATGATATGCTGTTCACTAAGTGGAGAAAAAGAAAATCTTATGATCGTTGGAAAGTATCGTAATCCAAGGTGGTTCTCTGATGGAAAGTACACTGAAGTTAAACAATTCTACGACTTTCAAACTAATGCTTGGATGAACATAGAGTTGTTTCATCGATGGCTACTTAAATGGGAAGTTGCACTCACAAGAGAAAACAGAAACATTCTTCTTATAGTAGATAATGCTCCAAGCCACAAGCTTATCATAACTACGACTATTGAAGAAGAGAAACCCGGCTACACTTACAAAGGCCTAAACAAAAAGGGTTTGCATGTGTATGAACTAAACCTGACACACATTAGGCTGGAATTTCTACCGAAAAACACGACATCAGTATTCCAGCCATGTGACGCAGGAATAATACACTCATTCAACGCCGCATATCGAAGAAAAATTGCGAATTTAAAGGCAGAAGAAATTATAGAAGCTCATTCTCGGGGAAAAACGTATTCAGGACTCAAAATGAATGTGGGAGATGCCATATTATATGCTGTCGACTGTTGGAACAATGATGTTTCATCAGAAACAATAATTGGATGTTGGAAGCACGCTTTGTTCAGAAAAAAAGGTGGAAGGTTTTTGGGAGATGGAACGGGCTATTCCATTGAAGATCTGATCGAAGAAAACGAAGAGCCCGGCGATGTTGAGGAACCTGAAGAACAAGGAGATATTTCTTTAAGAATCGGAGAGTTGAAAAAACTGATAGTGAGTAAAAATGATGAACTTAAAGAAATAAAACAACAGTACAAGGAACTGTGTGACAAAAAAAATGTTCCCATGGAAATAGATTTTAATTAATTTAAAATCTATTAATTTATGTTAAAATAAACTTTGAAAAATAACCACCTGAGGTGTTTCGTGTCTTAGGTAGTAGTGGTATCATAATAAACAGTTGGTAATTAAATGAGGTGGCTCATGTCTCAGTTATTTATTTTATTTTAAGTTTTAATTTATTTAATATCACTTTCGATCTTTTTTCTTGGCAAAAACTTATATTGACAACCATTTCTTTTTCTTTCAAATAAATTTGCACTTTTGATATTTTGTAATTATTTTTATTTGTTTTTGTGGTTATTCAAAATGTATTTACCAAAAAATAGAAATAACAATCCCGATTATTTAGAACAAAAAACAATAAACTGTCAGTTCTCTATCGAGCGGTTTTCAATGTTTGATTGGTCGAAAATGCCCGCTCTTGAGAGAACCCGCTCTTCAGAGGTACCGCTCTTTGGAGGTTTTACTGTAATTGGTTAGCACTTTGTTTGTATCACCTATACAATTGATAGAAGTAAGAGTTAATTATTACTATAACTTTTTGTAGTTAAATTAATATATTGTAACTATTTAATTAAACTAAACTGAATTGGGTTGTAATAATTAGTATTTATAATAGTTATAAAAATAGTAAATTATTTTGATTTTTAATTATAAAATATAGTATAAATATTAATAAAGAGTATATAATACTAATATTATTAGTTAATTAGAGTTTATAATATATAATAATAAAACCCATAATAGTAATTAAATGGTATTAAAGTATATATGAAATAACATAATAACTGAGATGTATTGGTTCTGAAAACGATTTAGTATTCAGAGTTTTTCAATCGAAAGAGGAACCTAGATATCAGTATGATAGTTGATCTTGATTCACAGAAAATCAAGAAATAGTTTGTACTAATATTCTTTTTTCTTATTAAAGTATTTTAAAAAATAATTAAATTATTTAAAGTTATGTTTTTTGATTTAATGTTTTATCACAGAAGTTGATTTAAAACAACAACAATCTTATTTAAAATATAAAAACACTGTTTATTACAATCAAATGTTGATTTATTGTGTTGTAAATGAATGAGAACATCATATATTCCAATTTCAATTATTGACGTTAAAAATAACAAACAACAACAAAAATCGAGAGTATTAAATAATCATTACTGGTATGAAACAAAATATGACACTGACTACCCAATACAATAAAAATGACCCACACCCGAGGACTCTGACTGTCTTATTTGTTGTTTTTCTCGATATGATGAAACCAACCAACCACGGGATCACAAACAGAAATCCAAGTGCAAACAAGATGATGAAGATTTTGTTGTATTTCACGTTGAGTGTGTTGTTGTCTTCGACTGTTTGTTGCGCAAACATTGGTGTACTTTGGTTATAGTTTTGTTGATATTGCAGTGATTGATATTCCGAATAAGCTGGTCCTTGATATTGAGCAGACTGAATTAAGTATTGCTGTTGTTGGAAAGGGACTTGTTGATCTGTTTGACTTTCAATGAGAAGCGCAGTTGGGACTGTGAGTGGATTGTAAGACGCAGCGCTGTTCATTTCTATTACATTTTTATAAGTCAGTTGTTTTATTATATTGTAAGTTTCACAAGAAGAATCTATAAATTTTGTATTTATTTTAATTAAAATTATTAATGTATTAAATTTGGATATTATTCAGTGCTATAAACCGGATTCAATTGGTTGCTTGCCAGTGTTAATTTTGTAATTTTTTCAACCATAATTTGTTTTTGTACTACTATATAAATTATGTAGATTTAGTGCACCCTCCATTTTCTAATACTGATCCTAAAAGGATCCTCAGCTTCGCGTAATTTTAACTAAACGCAAAGCTCCCTCATGAATTTAATTATAGATCAATATTTATAGTAAATTTATATTACTATAAAAATACAGTAAATTTATATTAATGTAGTAATCTAAGTTTTATAGTAAATTTATATTAATGTAATTTTTTATCTTCCTTAAAATGACGGAACAGTATATGAATAAAGCGTTTAGAAAATATATCGAGCTTTGTCCTTTACGGTTCTTAGAACCTGAGGACCGTAGGTCCGTACAGTTCTTATTTAATTTAAATACAGATGAAGATATTGACGAATTTATAGATGATTCTGAAAGTGAACATGAAAGTGAAAATATTATAGAAAATCATGATTATTCTGATAAATCAAGTGAAGAAGACGTAAATGATTATGTTTATTATGATGAAGAAGATAATAAAGTTGTAGCTAACTTAGAATGTGATTGTTCTAAATTTAAAACAAGAATTAATAAATATAAAGAATACTTTAATCAATTTATTAGAAATAATAATATATAAGATATAATTGTAAAATATTATGTTAGTCCTAATGTTATTCAAAAAGGTTATGAAATATCGATCTGTTTAAATAATAAAAATAATTATCAAAAATTTCAAAACTTTATGGATCATGGTTATTGTAAAGGAAAAGAAGGTAGAATTTTCAATGTAATGAAATTACATTGATGATAATTTAATAGATATTTCATAACCTGTAAAAACAAAGTAATATATTTTTCATCTTATCTGAAGACATCTATTGAGTATGTTATTTTTATAGATATTATAATAATACTGTTATTTTACTTTATTAATAATATATTTAGTAA